GGCTTTTGGGGGACGGGGAGAGGAGCCCATTTATGCGCTAGACAAAACCCATCCGGGCCAAGAGCTTCCCAGCCCGACAACGGGGTCACGGTTGGCACCTCGGCTTCCGGATTGAAACGGCTGGATGCCAGCAAAAGCACTTGCTGACCCTCACTGCGAAAAAGCCCCCCCCCCCCCCGCCTTTCTCCTGGCAGTTTTGGAGATCTTTGGAGCATGGTGCGCTCTTGTGACTCGGATGGGCTAGTCCAAAGGGCTCCTGGTCCTTAAAATTGCCACCCCCAAAACAGAGGACCTTTTGGGCAATTGGCAGGAGTAGGATGGAAAAAGTTGGTAGCTGGTGAAAAAGACAAAATGCTTTAATGGTAAAACTGTGTCTTCTACCCCCCCCCCCCCCCCCCCCCGGACCCATTCCTTTTTCCCCCCCCCCCCCCCCCCCCCCCCCGGTTCTGTGCTTTCACTTTAAATCGTTCAGAGTTAACGGAGGGGCAGCAAATGTTCCTACTACGGGGCGGAGGGTGGAGAGTAGCAAAACAAGCCCAGTTTCTTTGGAAGGAGGGGACGCTTCCCGGTCTGGCATGTTTTGCTTTTGCTTCGCTGTTCCTTTTGTATTTCACTTTGGGGTGTGTGTGGGGGGGTTTCCACAGAGAACCCCCAGCGTCTCTGGGAAGGAGCTGAGAGGCAGGAGCCTTCAAGGGAGGTTTTGGGAAGGTGGGGAGAGCCCCCTTCCACCAGAGTAGGTCTCTTTGGAGATCACATGGGGGCAGGGGCTGGACATCAGCAGAGCAGGGAGGCGATGCCTGCAATCTTTAAAGTTGGGGGGTCGGGGGGGGAGTTCAGAGAACGAGGATACCCAGACGTTGCTGCCCTTTGGGAAACACTGTAAATCACCATTGCTTTTTATTTTCATGCCTGTTTAAAGAGCTGGGTATTGTGTTGGCTTGACTTTCTTTCCAGTGTTTTCTTCTGTGTGGGGGTGGGGGGGGCGGGGGGGTGAGGTGAGGGTGGGTAGAAACAGGGAGGGAGACTTTGTGGGAAACAGCAGTCTCTGCATTGTACATGAATACATTTAATAAAATGACTAGTTTGAAGGTTTTGATATTGTTATTGTAAATAAGCCCTCCCGCAGGTATCTGGCAGGTGTGCAAGGCTACCCCTGTGGCCGGAGAGCAGAGCCTGCCTTCCCTCCCTCGCTTTGCAGAGTAGAATTCGAGCCGGAGGCTCCCTCACTGCCCACCGGCCGGCTGGAGAAGACCTGCAGAGGGAAGAAGTGGCTGCGATGCAAAGGGGGGGGCGGGGGGGAACAGAGACCCAGCCCAGAAGGAAGACGCGTGGCCAGCCCACCACCACAAGATCCACAGACACGTCTCCCAGGAAGTTTAGACTGTTCTGATTTGTGCATATTGTCTATAGTTTGGAAGGGGGCTTAGAAAGGGTGCCGTTTGCAGAGCAAAGCGAGGCATCTCCGAGCAGAACTTCATCGCCTGCCTTCCGTTATTTTTGTACTGTATACTAATAAAGTGTTCTTGACCTGGTGTGGCCTCCGTTCCTAGAGCCCGAGGGAGGGCAGTCCTTTCGCCCTGGACTGCTGAGGTTGGTCATCAGGATGTCCAGGGATTGATCCTATGTGTGCAGGTCAATTGCGGCTGTGCTTTGTGGTCGGATGTTGCAATAACTTGAATCATTTTCTTCCCCAGCCTCTAAGGACTCTGAATTTAGGTCCAAAATGCAGGCCAGCTCGCTGGACTCTCGGTCTCCTCTTCCTTAGCCTTTTTCTGTTTCAACTATGTTGCTGTTATTTATTTTTATATATTTATTAAAAGCTGTCACTTTTATCCTTAAAAACAAATACATGATGGGCTAGAAGGGACCTGCTGCTCGGGTCTTGGGTGGAGGGCAAGCAAAGCCTGCCAAAACAAACGAACAAACCCGTAAGATGGTTATAACACATTGAATGAGTGAGAAAAATGTGGGTTGCAAGCCGCTACCACGTCCATCTGCTTCCAAGTGCCTGGAATGAGGTGGGGTGTGTGGGAGGTATTGGGTACACAGTTGGGTTGCAGTTGTGTGTCTGGCTTGTTACGGTTTGTATATTTGGGCCTTTATGGAGGAGTCGGTCTGGGGCCAAGTGCAGCAGCCCTTTTAATGGGAAAGAGCCACTTGATTTACCGTACTTGGGGCTGTGGCAGGAAGGCAAATCACTTCTCTAAACCTAGATCTCCAACACAGTGGACCCATATTCCCAGTCCAAGGCCGAAAAATCGCCTCGAGATTGCGAGATAGTGCGTTGTGACTTTTCATCAGTCCTTTTGGGTGTTGAGAGCTGCTTTTGGAGATTCTGCCCTGGAGCTGCAGATTCCACCCAGGCGTGTTATGCAGATACGTAACATGCAAACATGTAGCCCTGTGGCTTTGGGGGATCCAGGGATTCCTCTTAGGAGGATGGGAGCGCTGGGTCCCTTTCCCGTGCTGGCCCCCCCGCCCAATAGTAACAACCAGTTGTACTTGCTGAGCAAGAGACGGTACCTGGAATAGGGAAGCCGCCCATAGAATTTTCCCGGTCCTCGTAGTCAAAAGTGTAGCTCAAGTTGCTTGTAGAAAACACTCCAAAAAGTGCAACCCCTTTGAGGACAGGTGAGGAAGCAGCCGAGTCTCCACTGCATTTCCTTGAGTCGGTGCTTTTTCTTCAACCGAGGTGTTCCCAGGGCCCCGGTTCATTTGGGATCGGCCACCGCCGCGCTTGGGCTGCTTTTGCTAATACGGGAAGACTGCGGGACTTGGCCAATTTCGCCCAGGAGAGTCAGGCACTGGCCAAATACTGTATGAGAGAATCTCGCTGCTAGCAGCCTCGGACGGCAGAACCAAGTGACAAAAGAGCCTTCAATTTTGGGCATGGAATTGACTTAAGAATGGGAAACAGGGCCTAGGACTGGCGATCGGGCTAGGATGCAACCAGGATCCAGGATGTCCAGAGATTATCAGTCCTCCAGGTCATGATTGTCCCAAAGGTGCTCTTCCAAAGGCAACTGGACTTTCTTGGTTTCTTCCCCTGAAAAGCTTATCCAAGAAGCTTCTTCAGTTCTTCGTTGAAGAACTGAACGTCACTGAAGAAGCTTCTTGGATGGGAAGTAGAATGTTTTCAGGGGAAGAAACCAAGAAAGTCCAGTTGCCTTTGGAAAAGCACCTTTGAGGCAGGATCCAGGGTCTTAGGGGAGGCCTGCTTTGTCGCCTTTATTTCCCACCTTAGAGTGAGCAAAGCCAGGAGGCTGGTGACTGTTAATGCTTTTAGCCATGCCCTCCTCAGCTTCCTTGAAGACAGGCTCTAGAAAGCTGGCCAAGACTTAAAAGTGCCACCTAACTTGTAAACTGGCTGAGCACATTTAACTTCGAACCCTCTGTGTTCAAGCTTTGTTCAGCTGTATTTCTGCGGCTGCTTCCCTTTGGATTGGCCAAAGACAGGTTCCCTGGGGGAGGTCAAAATAATTCTGCTGCTTCCAGAGAGTTGCTATAAGGTGCAAAAGTCCAGTGAGCAAAGCAATGGGTCTTCTGTTGACGCCATTAGCTGACCTGGGTTAGTTTTAAGAGGCTGAGTGTTTTTCTTAATGTGTTGTGGGAATGCAGCCTGGGTTCACATTAGCTGAAGGGGGAAGCTATACCAAAGTGTGCGAATTGAAAACCTTGGAATTGGAAGAGAACCAAGGAAAAAGCCGCCTGGAAGTTGGGAGAAATCCCAGGGCAATGTTAGGCTTGCTTGGTGGGACCAGGCCATGCGGCATGTAGACTGGAGTTGGGCATGAATGCATGCCCAAAGCCCTTGACTGCCCTCTGCAGATTTGGGGGCTTGTGGGTGGGAAGAAGCAAAGGGCTCCTTTTTAGAGGTTGATGGCAAATGGGGTTCAAGGCAAGGATTGTTAATGGGGCACGGGGGAAAGTCGCCGAGGGGCTTCCTTTTGTCTATGTTGCCGGGTGGGGGTGGATGAGAAGTGAGGCCTTGTGGCTGTGCCTTGAGATGCTGAGTTGGGATTTGTGATGGAGGCGCTTTCGGAATTGCTTGGCTGTGACTTGGCTCGCCGAGTTTTCGTGATTGCTACCAGTCCAGGACTGCAATGTAATTAGCTTGATTTTTGTGTAATCCCTGGCTCAAATATGTGATGTGTGAGTGGGAAGACCTAGCAGACTCCAACCACATTGTCCTTTTTCTCTTGCACCATCTCCTTGGATTGTGTGAATGGATTCGTAATGCCAACAGGATCTCTGCTTCATGTCAAGGCTATCATTCTTGGGTCTGCTGGTGCAAGTTAGCTCTGCGTTCTTTCCCCCCCTAGTTTTATTGACTTGTCTCCCTCATATTAAAGGCATCCGGTTATTACTTGGTTTTATGCCCATTTGCGATTACCAGTTTACAGTGAATAAGGGAAGGAAGGTGCTGTTTTGATGGTTTCTAGTTGTGTCACTTTGCAAAGGTCCATTGAAGGAACTCTGCTGGTCAACTCTTGTGACCAGGAGTAAACTGGCGACTCAGTGGATGGACTGATTCACCTCACTGATTTTGTTTTCTTCTCTTATTTATCCATTTATTTAGAAAATCCTTTGGGCATCTAAGGCCTGGGCCCCAAGAATGCCATTGTAATGCCCCATTCTGCAGGGAAAGCCCTGTTGATCCCCCAGCAGGTAGTTGGCAAGATCCCAAGGGAAGGCACTTTAGCGTAAATAAGTTAAAAGCACATTCGGGGCTGCGTTGAGGGAGTCACAAATTGCCTAAAAATACATTTGTGGGGTTTTTTTTGGAGGGTGGGGGACGGGAGAGCGGTCGCTATCGCTCCAAACGAAGCCGGAACTTTCGTTTCCTCCGGTTTTTGTTTCAGGAGGGGAAAGAAAACAACGGCGTCCCTTCTTCCGGGGCTGGCGTGCGCGAGAGCCTATTGGCCGGCCGCGCAAACCAATCCGCGCTCTCTTCCTCTTCGCGCCGCTTGGGCCACGCCCACCCGCTCCCTGGCTTCGCGTGTCCGGGTCGCCCCGGGTGTGTTTTTTTTGCACGTGGGAACGCGGGTTGGGGACGCGGGTTCCCCAAAAGATGCGGCTCCTTCGCGTCTGGAAGAAGATCTGGGCGAGGAGGGGCGGCCCACGCCGACAATACACGGTCTGCTGCCTTTCTTGTACTTCGGGGCGTCTCGGCTCTTTTGCCTGTTAGAGATTCAAGGGCGTCTCTCGGGTCGCTGCTTAGCCCCCCGCCCCCCCCGCCCGCCCGCCCTCACCTGCTTCTTTTAGGAGGTGGCAGGCGGGCATTCAACCGGGAAGGCTGGCCGTGCAGGCTGCTCGGATGTTGAAGTGCCGCTCCGTGCTTGTGCGCGCAGGCTGCGGGCTGCCCAGGAAGGCAGGTTTTCGGAGGGAGGGTTGGCAGTTGGCAGCTTCCCGTCTTATCCCGGTGTTGTGCCCGGTTCGCCTCTCCGTCCTCTGAGCGCCGCTGTATCTCTCTGTCTTCCCCGCCCCGGAGTCTAACGGTGCTGCTCTCTCCTTCCCTCCTCAGACAGCGGCTCTTCCGTCCCAAGTTGCCGAGCGCCTGGCGTTATACCAGCGGCTGAAGGCCGCGGCAGACGAGCGCCAAGCCGAGCAAAGCCTCCGGGGGAAGCGCCCAATCTTGGTTTCCTTGCCAGGCGGCCGAAGCGTCGAGTGCGAATCCTGGACGACCACCCCTTATCGGCTGGCCTTGCAAATCAGGTGACTCCTAAGCCCCCCAAGCAGCTCTTTGCAAAACGTTTCCTAAAAATAGTCACACACACACACCCCGCCCCCCCCCCCATACTTTTTTCTCATGGAGAGACATTTATTGATTGCAGGAAAATGTGTGTTTGTTTTTTTAATGGTTCATTGATCAAAATGAGTCTAAACTCTCTTTTGTCCCCCAGCCAGAGTCTGGCGGAGACCGTGGTAACGGCACGGGTGAACGGAGGCCTTTATGACTTGGATCGTCCTCTGGAGGGTGACGCCACTGTGGAATTTTTGGGGTTTGATTCTCAGGCCGGGCAAGAGGTGAGGAGCAAGGAAGGGGCACATTTCTTTGGGAAAGAGGAAAGTGGGTGGGGGTTGCAGGCTCGGCCTTCAGTTGGCAGCGCTTCAGTCCATCAAGGGCACCTCCCCCCCCCCCCAAGAAGAGTGGGGTCCTTTTCCAGCTGAGCTCAGAGGGACAAGAAAGGGGTCAGGGGCCTCCGTTAGATGAAGGTCCCCCATCGTTTCCCCCAGTGTCCTTCCATGCCTCTCTCTTGGCAAGGAAGGGCTCAGCAGGCCGACTCTGCTCAGGGCCCCCAGGGAGGCTGGGACCCAACCCTCTCCCCGAATGTCTCCCCAGCTGTTCTGGCATTCCAGCGCCCACCTCCTGGGCGAGGCTGCTGAGCGCTTCTATGGTGCCCTGTTGTGCCACGGGCCCAGCACCGAGCAGGGCTTCTTCTATGACCTGTATTTGGACGAGGATCGGTAGGTGGTAACCCAGGTGGGGGTTTTGTCAGGACGTTAATGGCCCGGGGGTGGGGGGGAGGTGGGGTCGCTCTGCTCCCTGCGTTCGAGGAGATGTTTTTGCTGTGTTTTCTACACTGAGCAGGGGCTGGTCTGGATGGCCTCAGGGGTCCCTTCCGGTTGCAGGGTTCTGTCAATAAAAAGAACGGACGTTGCATAATCCCTGCTCCTTTGCCGTAGCTGCAGGGTGAACTTGACGTGACAAAGTGGGCCAGGGCTTTCCGTCACGTCAGTGCCCCCATTGAGCAGATTCTGGCTCGGGGACCCCTCCGCTGCCCCTCCACTGGGGCTGCTCACCTCGGTGAGGGAGCCTGTCGTGCTCCTAACGCCCACTGGGTGTCCTCGCAGGCTGTGCTGTGAGGTGGTTGGGATCTCTCACTTGATTGGGTGGAAGGGCCCGGCAGGTGGCAGCATTGGTGGAGCTAACTTGGAAGGGAGACCACCAGGACATCCCCAAGCGGTAGGCCAGCTCAAGAGGCCACACAAAGACCCTGGCAAAGAGTGGGAGGAACTCTGCCCTTGGTGGCTCCCTTTCCCTCAATGCCCCCAGTTTTATTACAACCCCTCATCCCCGAATCTTCCCATCCCAGGAAGGTGTCCAGCAAAGACCTCCCTGACCTGGAAGAGCTCTGCAAAGCGACCGTCGCAGCCCAGATCCCTTTTGAACGGCTGGAGGTTTCCCGAGAGGATCTGCTGGAGCTCTTTAAGGTAGGACGACACCGGGATCCCTTCAGTCCGGGGTCCCTCCGAGGCTCCAGGTGTGGAAAAGAAAGGCAGCCCCCGGTCCCCTTTCGATGGGTGTTGGCAGAAGTCAAGCTCTGCATTCGCCCCTTTTCTTTTTGGATCCAAGATGGAGGTTCTGGGTCCAACCGCCCAGCGAGGCAGTTCTGCCCATTTGGGGGGGGGGGGGGGGTTCAGAATGCGGCATCTCTGCCCCCCCGTGGGAGCCCTTTTCTGCTTTAACGGGGGGGGGGGGGCTTCCAAGTGCTTGACGGTGCCAACGGCCGCTGCTTCCCAGCCCAAATTTTGATCCCGCAAATTAACCCGTCTGGGGAGAGAAACAGGTTGCTCAAGGCTCTGGCGGCTGACACATTTTTCTTTGAAACGGGAACAAAGCCGCCACAGGATGTGAGGAGGCCTCGAGGTCTGGAAGAGCAGCTTCCTCAAGCAATTCTTAGTCACGGTGCCCATGTTGAGCCTCTGTGGTCAGGAGCAGTATACCCAGTTGCCGCAGAGCTGGCTGGCTGTTTGGGGAAACAGGAAGCCGGGCGAAAAGGGCCGGTGACCTGAACAGGCAGGATTGTTTACCACCAAAACAGCTTGGCTGCCAAGGGTTACGCACAGATGAGCCAGCATTTTGCACGGGCGTCGCAATTCTATTTACTTGTTCTTTTTCTTTTTTTACTAATCATCCAAAACTTGTGCTTGGGATGACCGGCAGTAATAAAAATAGATACCAAATTATCTCAGAGGGAAGGCAAACCTGTAATTAAGGCACAATCAAAAACAACACAGCCGTTAACTTTAACCTACTTCGGCAGCCGAAATGACCTAATTTTAAAAGTTTGTGTGAATCCCACAACCAAGAGAGCAACCGAGAAAGATCGGGCCTCACCTCTCGTGGCAGGGAGTTCCGAAGCCCCTGGAAACCTTTTGCGAGACTTTGAAGTGGAGCGAGGGGGATAACTCGGGTTTATTTCAGTGTCTCTGGTTTTTCCAAAGTGGGAAAAATTCCCTTAAGAAGCAGCATTTTTTAGGCTGTTTGGATCATTTTTAGACAATTTAGAAGCCAGATTTTCCCCAGAACGAGGCGTTCTTCTTTAAACTTGGGGAAGGGTTGATATTTACTCCAGCCACGTTTACCCTGGACTTTGGCCTCCAGCCGCTTGCCCATCTTGGGAGCTGCGGCTTGGTTCTCAGCTCCGAAGGGAGTCGAGGTTGCAAGGAGGAAGGGGCTGGGCAGCATGGCCTGAAGAGGGAACGGGGGCAGAGGAGCTGGACTTCGAGGGGGTGGAGAGGATTTCTGTTCCACCCTTCATAAAATGAATTAATGGGGAGGGGGTGCAGGGGGTCTCCCCAGATGTCTGGGTCCTTCAGCCGCCCAGGTGGAGATTGGTTCCTCTTCCTGCCTTTCAGCACAACCGATTCAAACTGGATATCATCAGACGGCGGGTGAAGTCTCGGACTGCCACCGTGTACAGGTGACCCTGAGGCAGGTGGGGAGGGGTGGGGGTGGCTGCCCAGTGGCCCCCTGCCCAGATCTACAGCCCCAGAGGGGTTCCCCGGGCCTCTTCGGTCTACGTTCGGCTTCTTTTCTGGATTGGCTCGCTTGCTGGAGTTACCTACGGACCAGACCACGCTGCAACCTCGCTCTGGATATCTGGAGACACCCCGGCATACACTTTAGCGAACGCTGCCAGGGTGTCACGTACTCACGAGGGCTAGAAACCTGAGCAGGGTTCAGGTGGCTTAAGTTACAGAGACGGCTGTAATTCTCCTGAGGTTTGCAGGGGTGGCGTTTATTGCAAGACGCCTTCCAGGAGCCCAGCCAGCCTGCCTCCCGCGTGCCCTGATCCTGCTTCCCCTTTTCTGCGTGTAGATGTGGGACGCTAGTCGACCTCTGCCAGGGCCCCCACCTCCGGCACAGCGGGGAGATCCGAGCCCTGAAGCTCCTCAAGGTTTGTGCCCCCCCAACGAAAGGATCCGAGTGGTTCTCCATCCCGTGCCGGGCAGGCGGTTCCAGGCCTTTCCGGCCGCAAAGAGCATTTAGGGTACAAGCGTAAAAGTCGCCAGGTGGCCAGTGGGTTGTGGAAAAAAGCCCGGAGAGCTTCAGCTGCCAGTCAACTTTACAATGCTTCATATGCGTTTCGTTGCACAGTCCAGGAGTCTCCGAACTGGGCCAGTTTAAGGTGGTGGACTTCAACTCCCAGAACTCCCCGACTGGTTATGCACGGACGGCTGGGGGATTCTGGGAGTTGAAGTCCACCAGGCTTACAAGGGCCGAGTTTGGAGCCCCCTGGTTTACTCGAGAGCAGCCCCTGGCGGTGGCCAAGAGGCAGGATTCGCCCTCTGCAGTCTGTGTAGCCTCTTGTCTCCAGTGGCTCTCCCTGTCCTGGAGCAGAACGATGGGAATTGTAGTCTCTCCGATTGAGGCTGGGCCTTTCCCCATCCTCCCTGGAGAATGGGGCACTCGGGGGTCCGTGCCGTGGGGGGCTCGCTGGTGAAGCTGGGGGGGGCGGGCAGGCCCCTAGCCGAACTGGCACAGCCCCCCAGGAGTGCCCTTCCTTTGCAGAACGCTGCCACCTCCTGGCAAGGAGGCCCCTCCGGAGAGCCCCTGCAGCGCATCTATGGCATCTCCTTCCCCAGCGCCCGGCAGCTGGCCGCCTGGGAGGAGGCCCAGGAGGAGGCTGCCCGGCGGGACCACCGGCGTATCGGAATGGTGGGTCTGCGTACAGCAGTCCTCGTGCGCCTCTTGGACCCCCCCCCCCCCCCCGGGGTGGTTTTGCCCAGCATCCCCATTCCCACGCAGCGGAAATCTTGGGAGAATGGCTCTTCCGACCCCCTGGACTAGAAACTTGGGAGTGGCGCCTTCAGACGGAAAGGGAGATGCGTCCCAAAGCAAGCGGCTCTCCCCGTCTGGGTGCTTGCGGGGGTTGAATTTAGGGTGAAATGGAGAGGAGGGGGCGCAACCTGCTTAGCGGGGGTCTGTCCTTGCCCGCTGCCTGGTGGGGGGGGGCGTGAATTGGGGAATCGGACCCTCCCAGGCCACCTGCTCCGTCTTTCGGATTCCTCGCCAGGACCAGGAACTTTTCTTTTTCCACCCGCTGAGTCCCGGGAGCTGCTTCTTCCTCCCCAAAGGGACCCACATCTACACGACCCTCGTGGACTTCATCAAGGTCGGTGTCTCTCGTGTTGTGTGTCGGTGGGGGTGGGGGTGGGGGCACTGCGGTGGGGATCCGGGCAGGTTCTCCCCCCCCCGTCCGTCCGCAGGCGTGGCTGGAAGCGGGGTGCGCTATTCGCGCACACGCAGGGGCCGCCGCTCAAACCGGCGCGTCTGTCTGCAGAGCGAGTACCTCAAGCGCGGCTTCTCCGAAGTCGTCACCCCCAACATTTTCAACGCGAAGCTCTGGGAAACCTCCGGCCACTGGGAGCATTACGGCGAGAACATGTTCTCCTTCCCGGTGGAAGGCCAGACGTTCGCCCTCAAGCCCATGAATTGTCCCGGCCACTGGTGAGGGGGAGCTTTTTTTGGGGGGGGCGGGAATTTAGGATCCACTTGCGGACCCAGATCCCTGGATTTGGGGGTGGCGAAGGGGGCTCCTCCTGGGAGCTGAGATCTCGCCCTGTGCCTGCCAGCCTCATGTTCGGCCACCGGCCCCGATCCTGGCGGGAGCTGCCCCTGCGGCTGGCTGACTTCGGGGTCCTCCACCGCAATGAGTCCTCGGGGTCTCTGACGGGGCTGACGCGGGTCCGGCGCTTCCAGCAGGATGACGCCCACATCTTCTGCTCCATTGATCAGGTGGGGAGGCTGGCCGGGGGGTGCCAGCATGGCTGAACCGAGAGCTTTACGCTGCCGTGCCGTGCTGAGCAGCGCAGGGCGGGGGCCTGCTTGGGAGGGGCCTGACCCCCCCCCCCCCTCTTTCCAATTCAGCTGCAGGGGGAGATCAGAGGCTGCCTGGACTTCCTGCAGGCCGTTTACTCCGTCTTTGGGTTCACCTTCCGCTTCTTCCTCTCCACCCGCCCTGAACACTTTCTCGGGGACCCCCCGCTCTGGGATCAGGCCGAGCAGGTGAGAATGGGGCCCCCAGCCGGGGCAGAGAGCCAGGGTGTGGGGGAGGGGGGGCCTTGGAGCGCCTCTACCTCCCCGTCCTGCTGCCAGGAGGCGAAGGTGCCCCCGGGAGGCTGGCACAGCCGCTCTGCAGGCAGGCCTCTCGCCTCTCCAGGGGGGACCTCTTGCTCAGCCAGGACGGGGGAGCCTCTCCGCTTCCCTGCTGACCCCCCCCGACACCCCCGGCGGGACCAAGGCGGCCTCCCTGCTGGGGGTGCGGTGGGGGGGCTGACGGCTCCCCTTTTTCCTCCCAGCTGCTGGAAAAAAGCCTCCGGGAGTTTGGGCAGCCGTGGGAACTCAACCCCGGGGACGGCGCCTTCTACGGGCCCAAGGTCAGTCAGGGCTGGTCAGCCTGCCGGAAGGGCTTGGGACAGAGTCTGGAAAGGGAGGGGTTCCTCGAGGTCATTTAGCCCAGCCCCCAGGGTACGTGAGAGATGTTTTGGCGGGTGGCTTTCAGGGCTGGGGAAAGGGCAGCCCAAATGCTCCCCCCCCCCCTGGCTTTTGTGGGGGGGTGTTACGAACGGGAAGCTGCCCTTCTCGCTGCAGCCGGCCGGCCCTCCTTCCGCCATCCGAGGCCCTTTGGGACGGGCTCCGGAGAAGGCTGCTTCAGGCATGAATCACCGTCCTGGACTGTTCGTGTTTTGGGCGTGGTGCCCCCAGGCCTGCTCTGCCTCCCCCTCCCCCCCTGCGGCTTTATGGGGTGACTCTGAGTGACCTCAGCCTTGTAAACCCAGCCGGAAGGGCAGCAAAGGCCCCCTGGGCCGGCCGGCCGGCACCTCTGAGCCCGCCCACCTTCCTCTGCGTCCTGCGGAAGGGCCAGGAACCCCGTGATCCCCCTCAGGGCTGCTGGCCCCTTGGATGCCCCCCCACACGCAGCCCCCCCCCCCCCGAATTGCAAGGGCGCTGGTGCCAAGCCAGTCCCCTGCCCGGGGGAGGGGGAGGTGCGGTTCAGGAGCCACGCCCTTTGAAGGAAGTCGGGGGCCCCTGAGTTGGGGCGAAGGCCCAGTGGACTTCTCCAGCCGGCAGGTCCTTTGACCCCCCTGGGCCGAGCGGCCCTGATCCTGCCCCCAGGCCAACTTTCATTATTCTCTCTGCCGCCGTGAGAGAAAACGGTCCTCCTGGGCTGGGCTGCCCGTCCGATGCCCCAAGGCCGCCTCCCGTCTCGGCCGGCTTAGCAGCCGCAGGGTTTAGGAACCGAAGGGCCCGATCCCCTGGGGGGGGGGGAGAAACCTCTCGGTGGGCTTTCTCCGCCTGGAGCTCCCCGGCTCCCCGTGGCTTTGGGGCTGCTCGCAGGGGGTGTCCGCGGGGGGCTGAGTCTCTCCCTGCTGGGCCTTTGCCCGTCTCTGCAGGTGGACATTCAGATCCAGGACGCTCTGGGGCGGTACCACCAGTGTGCCACCATCCAGCTGGACTTCCAGATGCCGCTTCGCTTCGACCTCTCCTACAAGGGGTGAGGGACCCCCTCCCTTGCAAGGCCCGGACTGGCACAACCTGGGAGCCCCTTCCTAACCCCCCTTCCCCCCCCCGGCCGGAAAGCGGCTCTTGGTTGCTCGGCAGAAGAGTTGGGGAGCCCTCCTGGCGCTGAGGCTCTCCTCTCTGCAGCAGCCCCCGACTCAAACCGCCCCTCCCTCTTTTTTCTGACTCCCATAACTTTGGCTACCCCCCCACCCCCGCCCTCCCCCCCAAAAAGCCAAGTCGCGTAGGGCTGGCATTCCAGGTAAGGCTTGTCTCCAGACAGGTAGACTTGGGTAGAAAATGGCCCTTTTGGGCTGTGGGGGCTTCCTCCTTTTTGGAGGAAAAAACACCCCCGTGATCCAAACGTCAGCCTCCCGCAGGCAATCCGGCCGTGACCGCAGAGGCCCTTCGTGTGACGCAGGCAGACGGCCAAGGCGCTTCCGTCATTTCCCCTTTTCCCTTCCCTCGGCTGAGGCCCCCTCACCGTCTCTCCCCCCCCCGGGGAAGAGAAACCGCCAAGCAGGAATGCTGGGGAGGGGAGGGCAGAGACGGAGGAGCCAGAGTGAATGGGGGGGGTCCGGTGCCAGAGCCAGAAGCCCCCAAACGGGCCCAAAGTGGCTCTTCCAGTCGGCCATTTTGGGCCACACCTGTCCTCAGCCCCCCAAGGCAAGGTTCCTGTCTGTCCCCCCCTTTCCAGCCTCTCTAGGGCTGGCTGTGCCCCCCCAAAAGTCCCAGCCCTGCCCTCGTCTCTCCCCTGCAGAAGGGACGGCGGGGCCCCCGAGAGGCCGGTCATGATCCACCGGGCAGTGCTGGGCTCCGTGGAGAGGATGCTGGCCATCTTGGCCGAGAACTACGGGGGCAAATGGTGAGTTGGGGGCTTCCCGCTTGCCCCCCCACCCCAATTTCTGCTGAGTGGGGGGGGGCTCAAAAGGGGGGTCTCCCCCAAGGGGGCAGGGATTAAACTCTGCTCCCAGCTAGGAGGAAGGGGGCCCACCAGGCTCTGGCTGGCTGCAGGGGCCTGCAGGGGCGGTGGGTTTGGGGGGCTGCCGGGGTGGGGTGGGCTGGGGGGGGTGTCTGGGCCAAGCCGTGCGCTCTGCTCCCCTCCCCCAGGCCCTTCTGGCTGTCCCCCTCCCAAATCATGGTGATTCCAGTGGGCCCCGATGCAGAGGAGTACGCTGGCGAGGTGAGAGCCGAGCCCCCCCAATGGCTGGGCAGGGAATTGGGGGTGGGGGATGGAAATCCCGGGGAGAAAGGCTGAAATGGGGCTGGGGGAACCTTCAGGCCTCAGGATCAACTTGGGGGTGTGCGGGAAATGCCCCCCCCATTTGGCAGGCAAGCTGAGAACCAACCCCCCCTAGATTTGGGCACTTGCCCCCGTGACTCCCAGCACAAGAGCAGCGGGGGGGGCGGGGGGGGGCGACAGCTGAACCGGCCTTGCTGGCCTCTCCTCCGGGCAGGTCCACCGGATCTTCCGCCAGGCGGGGTTCCAGGCAGACCTGGATGCCGATTCAGGAGAGACCCTCAACCGGAAGATCCGAAAAGCCCAGTTGGCCCAGTACAACTTCCAGTTTGGTATGTTGGCGACGCCCGGGACGGGATGCGAGGGGTGTGCGGGTGGGGGGGAACCGGGCTGAGCTACACGGAGCCAGGAGAAGGGGGAGGGGGCCGCCAGAACACTGGAGGGGACCCGATCTCCCATGTTGCTGGCCCAAAGGACCCGCCAGGCGATCCCAGGCAGGGATCCCCCCTCTCGGTCACTTCGGCTCGGCTGGGCAGGGAGGGAGGCAGGCAGAGGGGCGATTGGGGCAACGGGCCGGGGAGGGGGGGCTGTTTGGGGGCCAGGCTGCTTCAGGGCTCCCTCCCCCCCCCACAGTGGTTGGCCGGAAGGAGGTGACCCACCGCACCGTGAACGTCCGCAGCCGCGACAACCACCGTCACGGCGAGAGAGATTTGCACCAGGTGCAGCTCCGGCTGCGGGAACTCCAGGAGACGCGGGTCAGAAACGCGGAGGAGGTCTTCTGAGCCAAGGGCAGGCGGGGCCTCCGCAGGGCTGCCGGGCCTAGTCCTCACCGAGGAGCGCCAAGGCTGAGAAGGGCTCAGGATGCCTCCCTCCCTCCCTCCCTTGGTGGGCAGCACAACTTCCTGGAGTGCCTGGCATGACCTGGGCAGAGTCGCCTGCAGGAGGCCGTTACCTGGGCCTTCTCCCTCTGGAGGTCTTGGGACGCTCTGGGACTCTGGGCCCTCCCCGACCTTCCCTGGAGGTCGGCCTGGCTGTATTTGGGGGAGGGGGTGCAAAGGCCCCTCCTGGCCAAGGAAGGCAGCCCCTCCCCCGCCCCCGGGGATCCTTGGATGCCCCTGCTGATAAGGGCTGCCCCCCACACACACAAGGCCCCAGGACCGAGGCAGAGGAAGCTCGGGGGGGGTCCTTCCCCCAGCTGACTCAGGAGCTGCCCCCCCAGCCCCACTTGAGAGCCGGAAATGCTCCCCCGATGCAGAGGAGGGAGGCTGGGGGTGTGTGTGTGCAATTGAAGCTTCCGTGTGACCCTTCCGCTCTCAGAAAAATGCGTGGCACACCTGTGAATGCTCTGTGGAAGGGAACCTCCACCTTCCGAGGCAGTCTACCTCTGTGTACCGGGAAGGCTCTGCTTTCTGGAACAGGATGTGCCAGCCAGATTGGAGCCGGGCCTTGGTGACGTCTCCAGGTTCCCGAAAAGAGTTTGGCCCCCAGAGGTGACTCAGGTGTGCCGGGACCCAGGCGTGGCTCTTCCCATCGGAGGTCGGAAACAGACCTGAGCGAGACCGACCACCGCTGCTGCACTGGGGGTGGCAGCCCCTCCCTCAGGGCTCCCTAACCCTCCGTGGGGGGGGGGCACAGCACTTTGAGTCCCCCCCAAAACAGCAGAATGAAATAAACCACCTTCAACCTGCGCTGGGCTAATCCGCTTCTTTAATGCGGAGGGGGGGGGTTGCGTGTGAGACCTGCCCTTCGTAATTTGTACAGGGAGCACCTGGGTAAGGCCAGCGCCACTCTGCCCATGCTCAGGGGCCTGCTCCTGTTGCTGTGGACTCCGGCGCTCTCCTGCCTGCCAAGTGGTGGCACCAAATGCAGAAGGCTCGTCCTTCGCCCCCTGAGCCGGGCAGGGACCCTCGCCTGGTTCTCCTTTGGGGACCTCGTGCCGGGAAGCCTCCCCGGCAGACCCCCACCCCCCCGGCCTTCACCCTTCCTTTGGGGGAGGGGCTGCCCCAGATTTCCAAAGCAGAGGGCGGGGGGAGGCGGGGGGCACGGGGCCAAAGCCACCCCCTACCGGCCCGTTTCCATTGCCCCTTTTTCCCCTCGGGGTCCTGGCAGGAACGGAGCTGCCGCCTTCGCCCGTCTTGTGGCTTTGCAGAGGGGAGGGGGCCTTTCTGGATGGGGGGGGTGTCATTTCCCTAACTGGGTGCTTGTTTCTCAAGGAGTGACGTGTCCCTGCAATGTTTGCCTTTCATAACTGCTCCCCCCCGCCCCCCCCCCCCCCCCCAGCTGCTTTCCAGGGAGTCCGGCGGCTCATGTGAGCAAAGAGTGAGCGGGCGGCCCTGTTGCAACGCAGCCCTCCCCTCCCTGGCGGGGGGCATCGGGCTGGGCTCTCTTGGGCAATCGGCCCCCGACACCCACGCACCCACCTGCTCTCCTCCCCGTGGCTTTCTGCTAAAAAACAATGAGGACCTGAGCCTTGAAAATTCCACTCCTCTGAGAAAGCCTTCCTTCCTTCTTCCCTTTTGACTTTCTCTCTCTCTCTCTCTCTCTCTCTCTCTCTCTCTCTCTCTCTTTCTCCCCACTTTCAAAGCAGGCCTTCCCCATTAAGGCCAGCCCTCCCCCCCCCCCCGGGATTTTCCCGGCTGAATTCTAGCGGAGGGGGGACAAGGGGGGAGCAGGCTTGGCCTCTGCTGCACGTCCCAAACCCACCCAGGGACAATGACGGCTTTGTTTCTTCCTGGCGTTGTTACTCATCCTGGCACGGAGGTGCTGAGCTCTCTTGAGCCTCGGTGGCTCTTACGACACACGGCCCTCCGTGGGACAGGAGGCCGGGCTGCTCCAGACCTCGGGCTGCACGTTCCGGCCGAGGATGAGGAGGAGCAGGTGCCCTTCATTTTTCCCCAATAAACTTTGGCGGAGATCTGCGCTGGCAGAATCCCTGGGTGCCCCGGGGACATTCCTGGCAGGCTGTTCTCCAGCCACTTGACCGGGAAGGATGCAGGGACCCCCAGCTGCTTCTCTGGGGCCACGGAGGGCAGCCGTTCCGCTGCCCCACAGCCTCGGGGGGCCCTGGTGAGTCCAGGAAGGCCCAGCCAAGGGGGAGGCCTGCTGGAAGAAGGCTTTAAAAGTTTGACCTCTGAGCATGTGTAGAATTCATTTTTCTACCCCAGACTGACCACTGGCCTACATGCATCAGATACTGAGGTTTTACCCTAACCCCAAAAGATCCCTTCCCTAATGAGCTGCAGTTTTGGCTGGACTTGAGCTAAACAATTCACAAAGAAGTGAGGAATTGTTTTTTCCTGAAATGCCGATTTTAATCTCCCTTTTGTAATCAGCAGAAGGGGGGGGGTGCTGATTGCTTCAGGCCACTTTCCCACCAAGATCCCCCCACCCAATTTTTGATTCATTTTTGGACATCCCATAGATGGGTGTCTGCCTCCTGCTGGGGTCTTCAGTTCACTTCCAAACCATAAAACCGAATCATAAGGCCAAAGGCAGAGAAAGGAGAAATCCAGTTTTAAGACTCTAAATTAAACATAGTGGGGACATTGCAACACTCTCAAGTGGAAGAGTAAAACCACCTCTTTGTTTCCTGAGTTACGGCTCGCCCTGACTTCCAGGTACTTCTTCAGCCCTTCCAAAATTAGCCCCCTCTTAAGTTTTGAGAAAAAGCCAAGAGCCGGATACTTTCCCACAGTTTAACTGTTGCCGTTTGTTTGCTTTCAAGTCACTCCACTATTACAAATCACAAAAATACGTGATTAACAAGTGGCAGAGGTACGTCACTGTGTTTTGCTGTCAGTCTTCACCCTAATCCCTCCGAAACCACTTTGGTCTGGGAGGTTTCGGGGGCTGGTTGTGGAGAAGCCTTCGGCCCTGGGAGCCCCGCGGTGGCTTTGGATCCGCTGACTGCGGCCCTTCTGACTGCGGTCACACGTCTCCCTTCGCCCACGCAGGCCGCACATGCTCTCAGGCAAAGGCCCACCGGTTGGGGGTCAGGGTTCGGGGGGGGGGAACGAAACCCACCCGGTTGAGCAAGTGACTGTGGTTTCAGCTGACAGCATTTCAAAACTCAACATCTGGAAGGGCGATGACCCCACTTCTCCGACCCCCCCCCTAGAATTCTTCAGCCTGGCACGCCAATTTTAAAAATGTTGCCAAGGAAACATCACGATTTGCTCCAGGTCCCCCCCCAGGAGTGAAACACTGACCGAAGCCCCAAAAATGTTGATTAGAAGGGCTGGCACTCAAAAGGAGTAACTGGTCACTCAGCCTCTACATCAGCCGCCTAAAAGTGTCCCATCTGAAGAGATTTCTACTGACCTATTATTATAGAAAACGTGTACTACGTAGCCCATCAGGTTCTTCACCCAATTCCCTGCACCCTTAGCCTGGGAGAGTGTGCCTATTCCCACAATTTAGGGGTCATTGCAGCCCAGCAAACTCTGGGTTACCAGAGTTAACCATCTGGTTGAAAAGAGGCCTCACTTGGTGAGACCCCCGAGAGGCGCGGCCCTGGGACAGACAGACCCCTTCCAAACAGGGCAATGTTGGGGTTGTCCCCACAGGAGACACCGGGCCAGGGGAAGCTCTTCCAGCCTGCTCTGATCCGGCCCAAGAGGCCCCCTCCCCACCCGCCCCCTTTTCTGGACTTCGGGGTTTCTCCGGCTCCGCTTCTACCGCGTGCAACGACTGCGCCAGCCGGCAGCCCAGATCGAGGGAATCTACCCCGGGATGGGCTCCTTCCGATGGCCCGGTTGCCTTTTCGGAGCCCCCGCGCTGCGTGCTCGGAGCTGGGGGGCTGGAGGGGGCGGCTACGGAGGGGGCTTCTGGGGGCGCCATCCCCAGGCAAAGGGGCAGAGATAAACGCGGGGGCGGGGGGGTCCCTATCCATCAGCTGGAGCCCGGCCTTGCCTCCCCCCGCCCCGCCCCGGATTGGGCAATGCCCCGCTGGGGTGTCACAACCGACGCCGGGTGTGGTTTTCTGCCGCCACTTCTTCTTTTTTCTTGCCCTGTAAGCGGATTCGGGGGTGCGGAGAAGGGGAGAAGGGAGGGGGCGCGGTCTCCCCCCCTCCAACGAGGCTGCTCCGGGCCCGGCCCGCCTGCTGGGGCGGGTCCTGCCCTGCGTGGAGGCGGCGTCTCCGCCGAGCGCCCGGGGATAAAAGGGCCGGAGCCGCGGCGGCAGCCATCCAGCCCCGAGCGAGCAAGAAGCACCGGAGCGATGACCGCGATGAGCCCCCTCTGGCTCTGCCTCTGCTGCCTGGCCGCTTGGCCCGCCTGGACACGCTCGGAGAGCCAGGCCACGCCGCCAGGTAGGACCCGCTCCGGGGAGCGGCCAGAGGGAAGGGCGGGAGGAGGGGGGGGGTCCTGGCCGGGGACTCGCCTCCTGAGGAGCCCCCCGGGCCGGGGGGACAGAGAGGGGAGGGGGCTGCCCGGGGAGGGGCCCTTCTGGGCGGGCAGCCCCCCCCCAACCCTTCCCAAGGACAGCCCGCTGTCTGTCGGCCGGAGGGAGGGAGGGGGGTCCGGGCGAAAGGTCCCAGGGCGCAGCGCCGCCCCCCCCCCCCCGGCCCTCTCCTCCCGGCCCGCTTGGGTGGCCTGAAACCAGCTGGTTCCGCTCGGGCCGGGTTCCAGGCCCCGGGGCTGCCGCTGGGGGGGCCGAGAGCGCGACTCCTCCCAACCCGGAGCCGCCCCGCTCGGTGCCCTGAAGTTTGCTCCGGTCCCCGCTTGCTGGCTCTTGCGAGGTGCCCCGAGGGGAAAAGCGAAGGGAAAACCTCCGTTTGTGCGGTCGGGTATCGGAGCCGAAGGGTTTGGCCGGGGGACTTCAGGGCGCCTGGAAATGTCCCAGCCTCCTGGAAAGGGGGCGAGGCTTCTGC